CAAACGTTGTTCTGACTTTCACAACTTAACATTTGATTAACCAATAACTAAATGAAGGTCTAAACTGGTTGCTTGTCTCTTGTCAAGCAGAGAAATGTGCTTAGTAGATGAGTCGATATTTCTTCTCTAGGGATTACTTAACTTTAATTATTATTAGATGAATTTAATTGAGCTAATAGAAGTATATGTTTTGATACTGGTTGGTCTGAAAGGAAGAAGGATGCTGTGAGAAGGAAGAAGACTGAAGAAATGGTTAAGCATTTACTAGCTCTTATTAATGTTGACTGGCTTGTGTTCAGCAATCAAATCGATATGCAGATATGGACTAGTGCAATATTCTATATTGACAGGACAACCTTTTTTTTTAAAAAGGCAAATGTTTGTGTTAAAAAACACATTCAAGTATTGTGGAGGTAATCCTATTCTGCAGACTTGACTTTGGTAAGACATTTTTTTCTTGTTTTTAATCACACCATGATCATTTAAATATGTTTCAATGATAATGACAAGGTGATTGCAAATCTCTAATATCGTGTATCATCTCGCAATTAGTTTGAATTGACAAGTCGTGCAGCCCTAGTGCAGAATTACCCTGTATACACATCCAGACTCTCATGTCAGCAGGCGGCATGTTAATCAATCCTACAACTAACCAGACAAACCATCAACCCTGCCTTTCAAAAAAGACTCCACTGTATTTAAGCTGAGATGCTTTTTCTGCTTGAGAAATGAACAGCGCTGTGCCTCCTCTGCAGCACAGAGTGAAAGTGCAGCATTAGAGCTGGCAAGCCACAGAGGGCCACTTGGCCTGCGCTCTTTGGCTCCTTTAATCATTGTGATTGAATCATTTTAACTGGGTTGCATGCTAAGACTTTTAACACAGCATCCTTATGTTGATCCACTCTGCTTTACACTTCCCACGGAGCCAATACCCTACAGAGGTATCCATGAATAGACCATGAGCTGGCCACCTGAAAATGTCACTTTAGCTCCAAAGGGAAAACAGTTTAACTCAGGACTAACTGAAGGAATAATAATATGCCATTGTACATGATTGCAGGTTTAGGATCAGCCTGTGTGATGGGTAACAGGTTGTCATGAGTATTGCTGAACTTAGTTCTAAGCCTCTGATGACTTTCCTACTAGCCATATACCTTTGTAATAAACGTTACATAACCTATTAGGATGTCATCTACCTTCCAGGATTGACCGAAAAAAATGAATTAAAAAACCTATTCTTTGGATAGGAAAATAGTGCACCATGATTCCCTTTCATTAAATACATCTTAAAACATAATGACAAGCAAAACGTCTGACAAAGCAAAGTAAATTCATGCATTGCTTTCAATCTAAATACTCCTGAACGTTGACTTTGAGATGGTTCTAAACTTGAAGAAAACCAAATATTTCATCATATTACATACTTTCTGAAATTGAAAGGATAAAGAAACCTATTAGAGCACATGTCGTATTCCCCACTCCACTCTCTGAAAGTTAGAGGGATTAGATTTTTTGGCCTGGTGTTCAAGACACAAAGAGTGCTGGGAAGCAGACAGCAGAATGGACAGAAAGGACAGGATTATTGTGGCCAGAAGGAGGACAAACCACGAACAGCTGCTGACAGATACACAAACCATATCATGTTGATTTGTATTAGTCACACAATCCCAGGCTAAGTGGCTTACATGTCCATTTCAAGTGTTTTTAGGATGTCACTTGTATCCACAGATTGTTAGTTGCTCAACCATTAAGACTTAAGTGGTGATTTTCATGAACTCAGGTCATGAACTTTGATGTCCAGGCTTTAGTCTCTAGTTACACAAACAGGACATTTAACCAGCACACGCCTTCCTCTTCAAACACAAAGCCCTGTGGAATGGCCGGTGTATTTACTGTACCAACTGCTACAGTAGCTGCCAGGGAAAGTATGACTGATGTGACTTCCTCACAGTCTCCCAGCTATCACAAGTTGGACAAACTTGATTCCTTGTGTCCAAACCCTGCTCTATGTCAATATGCTCAGATATGGTGTTGAGATAGCACAAAAATATTTGTGGTGTTGAAGTCTGCGGTACCCACCAGGCACAATAAATCGGGGCTTAGATAGATAAGAATTTAGCTACAGTGTAAAAACTTCAATGCAATAATTTATCTGTTAAAATAATAACAATAATCCATTCTGAAATGTATGTTTTAAGAAAGGGTAAATAAGATGTTGCCATTTGTCTGAGACGAGGCCCAAGAGAGATGGCAGGTGGCCACTGAAGTGGCTTCTATCTGGACTAGCAAGCAAATATGAATAAAATCCCTTTTAAAAGACGCTTACTTATTTAAGGTAAATGATACATCTGCTCTTGTTGATGTTGGGTGGAGCTATGGTTGTAATTATGTGAGGTCACCATCCCCAAGCACAAATTAGCTTGACAAAAGCATTTGTTGTTCTGCACTAACGGGTGCCTCAAAGCTAACAGGAATGTCAGGTATATATGTCAATCAAGTACAGTCTGTACACACCTACCGGTACATTAATATATATTTAACACAGATCGTATTCTAAAATAGAAGTACCCAGGCAAAGTCAATTATTAGACATATCTAATTCAGACATAACACCTTCCTAGAGAAGGAGAGAAACACTGCTTTAAATCAACATTTAATTGTGCATTTATGGTAGTGGAATGTGAGAAATTTCAAATTGGATGTCTGACCTGAGCTTCTGTAGCAGTAACCACAAAAATAATAACTTAATATGGCTGTTCTGCAGTGTGGACAGAATCAACAATCTTATTCCAATGACAACACACTAACTGCTATATTGATAGCATTCCCCGAACACTACTATTTCAATTTTTGGCATTATCTTCAAACATTACAGCTAGTGTTGGACATTTCAGAATAAAGACCATGAGAAAGTTCAAACAATCTATTTTAACCTCACTGCACAAACATTTCTTAACTTTCCTTTAATCCTGCGCCCATTTGGGTACGACTGAATTTGAGTTGTAGCCCTGAAAATAGACCTACTGTTATTAGACGATGTATTACAGACCATTCATCAACAAATGACAACAGTGCTGACCGCATGCTCAGGTCTTGGCTGCTCTACTGGTGAGCAAGAAAGCAGAGTGGAAGGCTTGATGTGGTAGCCTTCAGTGTAATTTGGTTCTGATAACGACTCCCTTATCACTGCTGCAGACAGCTTAGTCCTTAAGCTCCTTCACAGATAACTGCATCAATCAAATCTGAACAGGTTCCCACATTTATTTCCCAATTTCCACTTCTAGAAAGGGTATGCTTTCCAAACCCGAATTCTGACAAACCACAGCTAGCCATTGCATCTTGTGTAGAAGGGTATATCATGTTAACAGTTGGATAAATAACTGTTGCTGTTCATTAGAACAAATCAGATAATGATCCCCTGCTTCTTATTACTATAGTAGTACTGTGGATAATACATTAAAGGGCTTATTCTTCTTGGATCTATAGCCTAATGTTCTGAGCAGGCATAATAAAAAATCACGCCATTTGATGATCGATTCCCATTTACCATAGAGGCTCATTTGAGAAAAAGGAGAGTGTTAGTTTACATGAATAACGGGGAATCAATTCAGAATATTGCTGACTGCTTATTCCATGATGTGGAAGTTGGACTGAGGATCATGGACCCAGCAGAGTTTAAATATTTCTCATAGCCTGGAGAACATGATTGATTATGTGGCTGTGATGGCGTATGCGTTCACATGGCTGAGCAAACATTTTACCCTGGTTCATTTCATTTTCAACCCCACCTACCACCTACGTGTAGCAATATCTTCATTATTTTGTACCAAGAGTCATATTCATCAACGAGCAAGAAGTTCAACTCCCAAAAATTGGGATTAAAGAAAGTAATAAAGCTTCCTTTGTTCCTTCTTATTGACTCGACACTCAACAATGTTTTGTTTTGTGTATGATGTTCTTAACTTTGCAATGTCAGCTGTACTGTATGTGTGCGGGGAGAAGCTAATCTTTTCAAACATGCATCAGCTTGTTACAGTTCCCTTCCAATCTGAGCCCACGGTGCTCTATCTTTAAGCAACACAAGCTACTGCTATGAAGTGATGCAGCCTAACACCCACTTCTGACAAAATACCACATTGTATTTGCATTTGGGGTGTGTGAGAGAGAGTGTGTATCTGTGCCTGTGCCTGTTGCCCTAGCAAGCCACCTAGCTCTGGTCTATTTTGGTTTGGATGAAAACAAAAAAATAGAATCATATAACAGGGTAACAATATGATGAAGCTGTGTGTGGGATGATATACAGTATATATATATATATATTTATATGTGTGTGCATGTAATGAGGGCTCAAGTTGAACACATTCATTAAGATGCAAATGCTAATTTTGTTAAGGAAATTCTGGGGGGTTGCAGTCGAGGAAGAGCTGAAGTTGCTGCTGAGTGCAGTTCAGAGGGACTTTGAAATGGAAATCTTATTGGGGCGCAGTAAGCTCGGGGCAGTGTGGGGATGTGAGCGTAAGACTGATGATAACATCTCTCTTTTGGCAGGTTCTCTCATGCTTACTGTCATGCAAATCTCACTCAGCACTTTCCCCCTGCCGCATATCAGCACACACAGGTGCAGACAGTGACACGCATACAGTGCAGTGCAGTACAGACGTGTACCGATTGAATGCAGAAACACAAGTTCTGTGATTGACACACACACGCAATTTGTGGACACGCTCACACAAATGATGGCACGAGAACAGAGGAGATCAACTAACTTCTGCACGTTTAAACGGCGCCTATAACTCCAGGGCAAAATATCAGTACTCATTAGTCAGGATTCATTTGTCAGGACCTGTCATGTCAGAGATGTACTGAGACTTGACATGACAAAAGATTATCTCTTGTATTTAACAAATGTCTGTCTTTGCGTTTGACATCGACAGAAACAGACACAGACATAGAGAGATAAGTGATGCTGAGGCAAACCGCCAAAAACAACAGAAGCAGACCTGACTCTGTCTCCTCCAGTCTCCCCGCCTGGTTCCCCATGTTGGTCTGCTCCGCGACTCCCACTCTCCACACCGGGGCGGACTAATCCAAGAATCCGTGGCTGCAGGGGGGAGGTGTGTGTGTGTGTTTGGGTGTCGGTGTCTCGGTTCAGCACCAACAACCAGCGCTGGTCAGTGAAATGGAGAAGAAGCCATACAATTCTTCCTATTCTTCCCTCCTACTCCGTCTTCTTTTCTTTGCTCCACTCCTCTCCCAGGACTGAGTGAGTGAGTGTGTGCATGTGTGTGGAGGCAGGCTGCACGTCCCGTCAGCGAGTGTGTGTGAATGTGTGTGAATGTGTGCGAGTGTGCGTGTCCTCCACAACGGTGACACTATGTCATACTGGCAGGCGGGCGTGCTGGCAGCGTCGTGTGCACTTCATTATTGCTGTGATGACTAGAATCAGCTCAGATGGGGGAGTGGCTTCCACAACACACACACACACCTCCTCCTCCCACTGCTGCCAGCCACTTTACTCTCACCAATACCAGTTGAACAATGGTGAGATGAACCGTCCCTCTCATTGGCACAGAAAGGACGAGTGAGTGTGAAAGAGAGAAAGAAAAAAGGGTGGAGTAAAGAAGGAAGGAAAGAGGAGCAGGAAGAAAGGAAGGGCACTAGTTTGTTTTTTTGGTAGACGGGTGACATTGCATCTCTTGTCTTGCTAAGGGATCTTGGAGCCTGGGATTCACACAAAGTCTCCTCCACACCGTCCCAGCTCACAAAGTCACAGCTGCAATGTCTTGCAAAGAAATCTCACTAAATGGTGATGATAGTGTGAGGGACAAGATGCCGCCCCAGACACGCAGCACCTTCCCTACAGCGCGCCCAGCATGGAACAATAGCAGGAGTGTGAATGTGACTGAGATTTTGGGTTGGTGGAGCTAGTGGTTTTTTTGTTTGCCCTTTCTCATTCACAATGTAAGGACGTGTTCAATATTCATGAAGCTACAAGGAGGAACTAAGTTGGAAGGAAAAGGGACCTGTCATTTTCTGTTGTGCTGCTCCCTTTTTTCTGTCCCTAATCTTTAACGGTGTGAATTTGTGAATAAAAAAAAAAGGAAACCATTATGAACCCTTCTTATATGTCAGTTTTACCCAGTTACATGAAACATCAGGGATTCAAACTGCACAATTTGTTCAAAAGAGCAGCATCTTTAGCAGACAAACATTGTTGTAATTTGAGACATACCGAGTAGTTTTTCTGACCCCAGTTTACATTGATGCAATGAGACTTCACTATGACACATTATCTTGTGATGGTCCAAACATACAACATACAACTGTGTCAGTCAAGGGCATAACCCAAGTTATATCAAAATTCATCTCAACTGCATCATCAATTGTTGAAATCCATACTTGACACAGATAAGTTCTGATATTTTTAGAGAGTAGGCTGAGCATCTCTGTTGCAGAAGCTCAGAGCTGCCTTCATGTTCACAGTTGAAAAACATCACGGAAATAAAATTCAAAAGGCAAAATCATAAAGCAGTCGACATTTACAGCGGTCATTGCATTTTTGCTCAATATGCATTTAAAAGAAACACTGCAGCTCAACCCAGAAAAGCATTTTAAGAAAAATGCTCCACTAGCTGTTGGTTGCTGCATGATGCTGCCCACGTCAGGTTGAATATTCAACCCTTTGATGAAATACTGTACCCGTCTCCAAGCCTTTTTATATCTTATGAATGTTGCATTAACTGTTTCTACATTTTCCTCTTGCTCCCTTAATATTCTCGCCTCTCCTCATCTCGGAGCAGCACATCCACGTCGGTAAACAAACATGCCTCTAATCCCGCTAAGAATGTTCTCCTCACCGCAGGGCGTCCATCTCTGTGGGCCTCTTTCAGGATCTGGCAAGAGCATTTCTCTCTGTCCTGCGTCTTTAGGGGACTCACTGGGGTCATACACTTCTACAAGAGAGGAATTTTAAACTGGATGCCTAGACTCTGGTCAACAGAGGTGTGTTTATGTCTGAGTTGATGCCAAATGCGTAGATGCAGTGTGAAAATCGGGCTGTGATCAAAGCCTTGAGAGCCACTAGTGGGTAGGAGTAAAGCAAATATGGCTTGCCACTCTATTTTTACACTTCATGCATAATAAACAGACTTGTGATTAAATGGCTGCACAATTAATACTAATTTTATCTAAACGCAATATGGACTAGTTCAATATCGAATCCAAAGGGCAATATTTGGTTCAAAACTAAATATGTGAAAATATTATTCTGAATTTAGTAAGAAGTCCCAGCCTAGAGTATAATCACACTATATAGAATATACTGACTATTATGAATATTCCTATTTGAACAGGGCAGTATTAGTCATCAAAGGTAAAAGGTGTGGGTAACTTTGCATGCATATTTGAGAGTGTGTCCCTCTATGTGTACATGCATGTGTGTTTTGTACTGCTCGTGTCAGTGTATGTCTGTCATGGCTGAGTGCTTATGCAGGCTGAGGCCTCCCTGTGGATTGGGGCGTGTTTGATTAATTCATCTGACAGATATGAGGAGCGGCAGAACCATACATCTGCCTCCTAAACACTGAAAGAGACAGACAGACACAGGCAGACAGACAGACAGACAGACAGACAGACAGACAGACAGACACAGAAAGACAGACAGACAGACACACACACACACACACAGACAGACAGACAGACACAGAGACAGACACACTAGGGCTGAACGATTAATCGATTTTAAATCGAAATTTCAAATGATGCGATTATCAAATCGCAAAGCCTGCGATTTCTTTTCAATTTTTATTTTTTCAAATTTTTATTTTTTTCTTCTTGTGTGTCAGTCATCCACACCAATCAGAAGTGCTGTGCTCCACATGTACCAGCCATTGTTAACCAATCAGAAGTGGCCCATGATAGAAGGTGATGACAGATTGATCCAATCACCTGCCAAGTCTTTTTGAAAGTGCCTGCCCTTTTCCAAATGGCTTCCAATGGAGCTTTCCTAGATGGTTTGGTGAAACAAACTATCTGAGTCAGGTTAGTAATGCTCCATAACATGTTTTACATCTATTACAGGGTGAATCTTAAACTGAAGCTTGAATTTAAAGCAACCCAACGGAAGTTTCATGTAAGTTTAGTTATTTCACTCGCTCGGGCTGCGGGGGTGCTAGAGACGGGAGCATGTTGATACGACCTTCCTAGCCGGAGTTATGGCCGCATTTTACAATAAACTTACGTTGGGTCGCTTAAAAACAAATATCGCAAATTGAATCGCAATATTTGTCAGAAAAATCGCAATTAGATTTTTTCCCAAAATCGTGCAACACACACACACACACACACACACACACACACACACACACACACACACACACACACACACACACACACACACACACACACACACACACACACACACACACACACACACACACACACACACACACACACACACACACACACACACACACACACAGTGTTGATTCTGAGTTGTGCAGTTGTGTAGTTCTAGTGCACATGTTTGCTTGATATATCACGACCTAAGGTTGACTGAGACTTGCATCGTACATACTTGCTACTCCCTGGCTGGAAGTGGGACCCTCAACAAAAACACGACTGCTAACACTTCTGGCTACAAAATGCTGCAACAAGCCCCTCATTGATATCAAGACAGCAGAAAGTCTACACATCTCCCGTTGCAGACTTTTCCGACACCTTGACCAATAAAAGAAAAATAAATTCACTTCTAAAAAGGAAGCACAGGAATGGTGTGGCTTATTTGAAAGCCAATGCAGTCACACTCACAACTGTTTGGCCTATTAAAAGCGAATGTACTGCACCTGCAGGAATCCTGCTTTATAAATGTGTTTCTTCATGCTTGAATGCCCTTTTTGTAAGTTGCTTTGGATTAAAGCGTCACCTAAATCAAATGTAATAATCAGTCCTCCCTCTGCATTTTTGCTATGGGGAAATACAACGAGCTGTTAGCTAATTAATATGGAATAGAAAGGCATCCTCCATCTGGGGGGGCTGGCAGACATCACATATGTCAAACAATGAGGGAGAAACTTGATCTCCATCACTCACTGACAGCAGGCCTTTCATACAGCAGAGGCTAACGGAAAGAAATCGCCTGTTTCTGACTGATGGCCATTGGGGGAATGACACAAAATACATTTGGTCTTGTAAATCCTCAGAGCAGGAAAAGCCCACGAGATGCAGTAGGATCTCAGTTTTACATAACAAGATACTATTCTATTTTTATACTCAAGTAAAATGTACCTCACGGGTAGGAGGGCAGAACAATGAAGGCTGTAAAGCTAAGCTGATGCCGATCATTAACTCTGGTCTTCTCACTGAGAGAGATTTATGATGTGACAACATTGTGCTGAGACATGTCACTCAGGTGAAAGACGGTATGCGGCAGAAACACGGACACTGGCAGCTTTTCAAATCTTCAATCTTGTGTTAAAGACTCAACAGCTCAACTTTTACCTCAAGGCAAAAATTGATCTTACATTTTTCCAAACAAACACAAGGGGAGAAAAGAATAAATCAAGAAATAGAGCAAAAGAAAATATGATTAGATATCCAGCAGAGATACAAACCAATGAATGGGTCCCATTTACGTCCAAGTACAATTCAGTATGATTATTGCACTTTTTTATTCTATTTTCTATTCTTCAAATCTAACACAATGAGTATACTTCTACAGTATAATTCAAGTCTATTTATTTCTAGTACAAACATATTTATAGAAATCATATCATTATTTTTTTTATTAGGGAATCAAACGTCAAAAAGACTCACGAAAAGACACTAATGTCCAACTTTAGTCGCCCAAACTTTGTTGGGTCAATGGTTTCACATTGAGACAGGTGAAGGTGAGCGCCTGTCAATGACATGTCCATTTGTAAAGTTATGGCCTGCAGTCGTCCCCTTCGGGCATTTTATTTATAGAGCAGGACAGTCTTATCTCCTTCTGTCTATTCTCCTCGCACGCTCCAGGGACTCTCCAAGTGAAAGCTTTACTGAATTATTGATGAAACGTTTTAAATAAGTCATCAGGACGAGGCTGGGTTTTAACCCGTTGTCTGACAGCATGCTAGAGTTAGTTAAGTGCCAAGGGGGGAAAGGGGGTAGGACTCCATTAGCAAAAATAACAGTTTTGACTCATTAGCACGGCATGCTGTGAGTGGAGGCAGGGGCGGGGTCAGACTGGCAGTCGGCTGACCTTCTGAGTCAGTACTGTGTGTGTGTGTGTGTCTGTGTCTGTGTGTGTGTGTGTGTGTGTGTGTGTGTGTGTCCATCCCATGAACTTGTGTGCCACAATACTATTTCCCGAGGGACATTTTTAAAAGCCTTAAACTACTTTGCTTGAATCTTTTTTAGTTTGTGCTCCAGCGTTCTTTTAAATTCTTCTAGAAAGACAAAAGCATTTTACTATGTGAGAATAATATCTACAGTAAGATCTGTGATTTGTATACAAAGCCTGTTATT